GCGACTTGTTCTCAACTCGGCCGGAATCCGCTTTGACTCTACTTATTTCTGATATGGTTCGTAAGAGCCAAGCCAGAAGCCCTCTCGCCTTATAGACTCAGGGCTGGAAGGCAAGTGTACCGTCTAGGTAAAAATCCGACTAGTGTACCGTTTAGGTAAAAATCCGACTTGACCTTCTGCTCGGCTAATACCTGACTAGGTTACCAAGCTACAAGCCTTTTCGCCTTATAGGCTCAAGGCTGGAAGGCAAGTGTACCGTCCCGGTCAGAATCCGATCCAACCCATCTACATGGGTGCACTCGGTTAGAATCCGACCTGTCTGCTCTGCAGGAGTAACTCGGCCAAAATCCGATCTAACTCTCCCACATAGATATTGTTCCGATATCAGGGATAAAATCCCATCTTTAATGACAAGATATTCTCCAAATATTAACGGTTAAGGAAATCCCTTGATCCTCGGGGCCCAAGTAGCCCATGAACGACGTACCATAAAACCCAAAACCCTAGAGTTGAGAGGGCAGATTACACTTTTCGAATGCTCTGGCTTTGCGGCTTGATCTAGGAAAAACCCTAGCGCATCCCATGACCGGAACAGAAACCATAATTAAAAAAAAATTTCATCTCCACATAAATGTAATGTAAAAACTTATAATTGTGAAAATAAACATAATTTTAAGAATTTATAATTTAATATATTAAAATAAAAAATTATTACAAATAATACTCACTTAATTCATAGCTACATTAGAAATATGAAAAGGAGGTTATCACCAAAAATAATGTACATGGAATCACATTGACATATAAAGAAATGAATAGCCATGTCCCTGCCAACGACCTCATGAGGCATGATAATCTTTGAGTCATGCACCCCGAGATCAATTACTGCTAAATCCAATTGACGGAGAAGAGAAAGCTCAAAAAGTGTTGTATGTGTAGCAACAATTGCTTTCCCCTTTCCAAAATCAACTTAAACATCATAAAATACAAATAATTAAGTTAATAAAACACAATTAATTAAAAACATCATTTAGAATGTAATAAATTGAATCACTCATTACCTTAAGTATGTTGGTCTTTAGCCTACTCGACCATAAAATAAAGATACCCAAGACCTATTTCACTGTCTAAACCTTTGCGGTGGGCATAGGGAATTGGGCGTCATGCTCTCTAATTTAGGAATCTCCGCCCATACAATATCATCTGGAATTGTTTGGTGTGAATAGTTGTTCCCAACATGTGTATGTTTGTTATGGCCTCCAACTCATTTAGGATGCCCTTAATGTATAATTGTATCTTTGATGGTACCTTATCAGCTACATGCTCCTTGGATGCATCAAGGGCAACACATGAAAAAATGGATCTATTGTAGAATTTACTAAAATGAATTAATGATTGAAATCCAGATTTTATCATTTTTTTATTGTTTCACTTTCTATTCTTCTACTTTCTTTTCAAAACCAAACAAAAGTTGTTCACTTGGTACACAGCTAAATACAAACAATTCTCCTATAAAATTCTTACTCGTGAAAACTTATCCCCGATCTAATAAAAGTTACTTTTATGTTTTGTCCATTAAAATATATAAAAATTCATTAAACACACATAATTCCAAAATTTTCTACCACATAATTCGACATGAGTAAATCTGCGTCAAAGGAGAGTATGGTAAAACAAACATGTGGAGCTGGAAAAAGTCTTCTTGAAACAAAATGAGATAAAATCTTTATTTGGTTCTTTATAATTTTTTTTTTTTTAATTTAGTCCTATTTTAATTTTTAGTTTCAATTTAGTCTTCAATAATTTAAATTATTGTAATTTGAAATTTCCGTCTAAATGATTTAAACGGAACAGGAAAGAAATACCATTTCGTTTTATTCTTAACTATATAGTATCAATTTGATAATTAATAATTCATTCCAGTTTGACTAACAATAAAATTAAAAATTAAAATAAATTAAATTAAAACAAAAAAATATTATAAAGAACTAAATAAGAGTTTTAATCGAACAAAATGCCTCGAAGAGGAGGACACGAACACAGTACCAAAAGTGGCAGCGACAGCGTTTGTCTGTATGCATGAATGTCAGTGTTTGTTTGTAAGTCAGCCACATATATAATTCACGAAACGCGTTCTTGACTTCTGCTTTTACCACATGCTTCTTACCACCAAATTAAACACACATTTTATTTATTTATTTTTACTCAACGTCGTGTGTTATGTCTTTTTCATCCATCAAAATAAAATTTGGTATTACATATTTTACAACATGGTGAATTGGTGATGGTATGTATTCGTAGATAAGAAATTTAAAGTTTTTTTTTGTTAAAATATTATTAATATATTTTATTGTAACTTTCAATATAATTTAAGATTTTTAACATTTTAAAAACTTTTTTCTTAAATTTTAAAGAGAACTTTTTGCAAGGCTCGTGCAATGATTTTATATTTCTGCAATAAAACAACATTACATCTTTTACATTTTAAAATATATTGATAACATATTTGAAATGGTACTAGGAGTAGGCGCAAATGACGCTAAAGTTATGACGCGAGAAGAGGCAAAAATTTATTATTAGTAATAATTATTTGATGATAATAAATTAATTATTTTTATTTTATTATTTAATAAAAATATTAATAAATAATAAATAATAATTTTAAAAAATATATTTATAGGAGTAGTTATTGAAAATAATTGATAAAAATGTAAAGGGTAGCTTTTAATTTATTTTACTGAGAAAAATTTAAGTTTAATAAAAATAAAATAATTAAAAAATATATAAATATAAAAGAATCCTTATTTTACAAATCAGTTTTGTAAGATTGAGTTGGACCTATAATCCATTATTCTAAAATAGTATCAAAATTATTCTAGATCTACTTTAAAAAGAGTCATTTATCACTAATACACACACCGAATCTAATAGTCTTGAACGTGAGAGAATGTATTTGAAAAAATTCAAGTCTCATTAACTAAAAATAAGATTTTTAAAAAGTATATAAGTGGAGAGCATAAAAGCTTGAAATAATTTCTTAAATTTTTAGTGATAATAATAAAAAATTAATATATAAGTTATATATTTAAAACTAATATTAATGGTTATTATAAATGCCAATAAAAAATATAAAAAAGAATCATATTTTTCTTGATCGTTATAAGAGTCTTTAACAACATGCAAAATAATTACCAATAAATATTTTATCGACACTGTATACAATGACTAATATAAAAATATTAGTAAAATATTTTGTAATAATTTTTATTATAACTAAACACAATATTAAATGCTACTAAAAATTCTTTTGTTATAGTGATAAATGACGCTAAAGCAAACATGCATAAAATATATTCACTTCTTACTTAATATTTTCTTCAGAAATATACAGTAATAAAACGATATAATAAAATATAATATTACTCTTATATATAAGATTTTTACATGTCTAATACATTATATTATTAATATAAATTTATAGAATTTATTTTAATAATTTTGGTAATCTTATCACTTAATGGTTAATTTATAACTTGTTTTTTTTTTTGGATTGATATAATATGCTGAAATAATATTGTTATGTAATGTTTCATAATATTAAATATTGTTTGAAAATTTTATTGAGTTATTACATTTATATACCTAACCAAAAGTTAAAAAGCTAATATGACAAACAAAAGCTCTTAAACACAGTAGAGCAACTAATAAAGATACTTGCATTCTTATGCATATATCAATTTTAATTCCTATAACGGAATTAATAAATTCAACATATTGAAACCTTAGTCAAATATAAAAAATCATATAATATTGTACGGGTAGAGGTGTTCGGCTACCGCATAGTCGAAACCCTATTGACCGTTGAATGGCCGGATTTGGTGGTCGACACCCAATCGGCTACCAGGATCGGCCTACACTCAAGCATTACCCTTAATCAATAATTAAGGGTTAATTACACCGATAAATCGATTAGGGCGTATTACCTAATACGGGAAGCATGTTGCAGGGCCCATGGGAGTCAAGATCCATAAATGTCAGTATAAATAGCTCATGTCACGAAGTAACGTCACTATTCATTAATTACTATCGATATCTGTGCTTGTCCTGACTTGAGCGTTGGAGTGCCTTTTACAAGTACCAACCCCCTCACCTGAACACCTGATCGAAACTCTCGTTCGGTCTCAGGAGTACGAGAAGACTTAGTGTGCCCATCAAACATGTACAAATATAATTTTTGGCTTTATTAAACTTGTAGCATATCAATCATATATAACATTACATATAATTTTTTTCAATTAAAAAATCCTTGAATAATTAATATGTCACATGGATTAAGATCATTCTTAGGTAGTGTCGCTACGCAATTTGTCTACTTGCTTTTGGAAAAATACTTTTCATCTCCATAGACGATATTAAAAATGTATAATTTATTTTATCTTAGAAAATAATTGAAACCTAATTTCTGTTGTTTTTACCATTTTTATACAAATATTTAAAATAAAATAAGAAAAATAAGCGACATTTTTATAATTACTTACCAAAATATGAAAATAAAGAGAGATTTTTGTTTTTGGTCAATTCATACACAACCCTAAAATTTATCATTAAAAAAAGGTAATCACCTTAAAGTTTATCATTAATTTTTTATTTTTATTTTTTACTTTTAATGAGCTAAGCTAACTCTATAGTTTGTTAATTAGATTAAAAGCATTCAGGTTTTTGAATGGAACCTCGCAGAAGCTTACTTTCTTTGACCAGCAGCCTCACCCTCTTTCTTCACATTTTTTTATTTTAATTTTATCTGTTGTTCTACCCTTATGGTTATGGCCCCCAAAACAAGAATTGAAAAACAAAAGCATATATATCCTCCATAAGGGTCTATCCACCTTGCAAAATACAAACCCAAAACGGTGTAGACTTGAAACCGTAACGTTTGAACCACTCAAACCAATAACTCGTGGGTTGGACTTTGGAAAAAGATACAAAAAAGAAAAAAAAACATAAAAATCACACAACTAAACTTTGGAACCACATTAGCACCCACCCTTTATTTTCCCATTCGAAGCTGCGTTAGCAGATTCGTCGTGGAATTCAAAGACCACCCTTTTTTCTTTCCTTTTCCTGTTTTTGACACGTATTTGAAAGACTGCAGCCTGTGTGGAATTTTGTCTTCCTCGTAGCTTATATATAAGCAAAGGAACACACTAACATATTCCCATCTTAATTTCTTCGTAGTGTTTCATCTTGGACCAGGACTTCCATTCTTATATACCAAACACAAAGAGGTATCTTCATACACAAAGGTAGGTTGGTTGATCATCCATGTTAGATTTTATCTGTTGCTTTTGGTGATGTAGATGTTGTTTGTCACATAAATATATCCATGGTGCCCCTATCAAAACCAAACTTGTTTCATTCACGGGGTTGCATGGTTAAAGAAAGATGGACTAAGGGATGATGGATAACTAGAGTTATACTTGTATGATTATGCATCATTTTCTTCATTTGATTTTTGCAAAAAAAAGAAAAACACAAAGAAAGAAAGTCTACTTTCTTGTCGTGATTTTGTTGCGACAGATTCTGTTTTTCGAAAGATACTTGAAACAAGAACAATTATGGAATGAAATTATCTCTACAAAATGGGGAGTTTTATAAAATTTCTATGGTAGATTTGTTGCATGTGTATCTAATGAACACTAACATGTGTATTATTATTACATGGGCAGGACTAAGAAATTAAGTGATAGTTTTGTTGAAACAAGTTGAAGTGTTGTGGGGGATCTACATCTCTATGGGATTATCACTTTCTTTACTCTCATCAGCCTGGGAAGAAATCGTTAGACATTCATTCTTTGGTCTGTCTTTGAACTTGGCCTTTGGTTCCAAAGATGGGGCAGTGATTCTGAGAGCAGGTAGCTTCAAGAAAAGAGAATCTGAAACCACTTCTGCGTTGTCAAAGGGTTCAAGCAAGTTGAATGATTGTAGACCCGAACACATGATCCTTGAAAGGAACCTTTCATGCATTAAAGATATGGAGATCATGGGGTCAAAGGAAAGTGAACAATTGCAGCATAAGCCAGTGCCTGTTCTTTCTCTGCCTAAAGAAGTGGTTTTCTCTTCACCAAGACCAGTTAGTGAGCTTGATGCTGCAGCAACTAAACTTCAAAAGGTGTACAAGAGTTACCGTACTAGAAGAAACCTTGCAGATTGTGCTGTTGTGGTGGAAGAACTCTGGTAAGTCTCAATCAGAAGCAATGTTTTTTAAGATTAGGATCCTTTCATGTTAGCAAGTTACATCACAATGTCATGTTACAAGACACAGAAATGAAAACTAACAACCTTATGATACAAATAATGGCAATACAAAACTTAGATGTAAATACACTTCAGTAACATACGTAATAAAAGTTTGCATTATTTATCAAAGTAAAACTCTAATTTTGATTGATATGAGAGGGTTCAAATTCATATTTTATATTTGGGTTTTCAGTTAAGGGTATGCTACGTGTCTTACTAATTGATTATGACATTTAATTGATGTAGGTGGAAGGCACTAGATTTTGCTGCTCTTAAAAGGAGTTCTGTTTCATTCTTTGATGTGGAGAAACAAGAAACTGCTGTGTCAAGATGGTCAAGAGCAAGGACAAGAGCTGCTAAGGTATGCATATTTCATTGAAATTCAACTTTCTCTAATTAATTAAAGTAAATTCGTTAGTTTTCTTGTTCATGCTATTTTATTTGGCATATTGTCATTGCTAATGGTTTCTTTTACAGGTTGGAAAAGGTTTGTCCAAGGATGATAAGGCTCAAAAATTAGCCCTGCAACATTGGCTTGAAGCTGTAAGTTATCCATTATTCCATCAAGTCTTACTTAGTCTTGAAATTGTGTTACACTTTAGTTTATAGTCTAATCCTTCTTGTTTTATGCACAGATTGACCCTCGTCATCGGTATGGACACAATTTGCACATGTATTATGATATTTGGTTTGAAAGCCAAAGCACACAACCATTTTTCTACTGGTAAACTCTTATTCTAAGATATCTAATAATCTACATCTTCTTATTTACTATAAATATAATCATCTCGAAGCTGGTAAAAACTATAGCAGTTAAGGATCTGGATGGTTAACTTAGTACATTTATGATATGCAGGTTGGATGTTGGAGATGGTAAAGAAATAAATCTCGAGAAATGCCCAAGAACCACCCTTCAACGCCAGTGCATCAAATATCTTGGACCAGTAAGTTATTCAACCTCACATTTGTAAAACTGTAATTACTATATACTTATAAAATATAAGAGGTTAATAGTCATGCACCGACACTGTAAAATAATTTTACACTGTTAATTAATCAGACAAACTCGGTTGATATAAAAATCAACAACTTACTATAAATGATAGTAGTTTGTAATTAGATGATAGTGTAATATCAGAGTATCATCTATTTTCTCAAAGTATAAACCATCTCATAATGTATAATCTAATGTTTGTCTTTGTTGTTACCATTGCAGAAAGAAAGGGAAGAGTACGAAGTAATTGTTGAAAACGGGAAGCTGGTATACAGACAGAATGGGGGGCTTGTGGATACTGATGGAAAGTCCAAATGGATATTCGTTCTTAGCACCACAAGGTCCTTGTATGTAGGACGCAAGCAGAAAGGTTCATTTCAACACTCTAGCTTTCTAGCTGGTGCTGCTACAACAGCTGCAGGCAGATTAGTTGCTCAACAAGGTGTACTTGAGGTAATTATATCACACATATAATATCTATATTCAGATAAAGTTTCTGATATATATCTATCCATGATTTGAATGGGATTGAGTTTATGACATATATACTTAATTTAAGAACCAAACTTACGTATCAATATGTATGATATTGTATCCAAGTTGTTTTTTTTATTTATTTTTTCCATACTTTAATTCAAAAGGATAGACCCACTTTTGCTTTTTCACTTTACACGTTACATCTCTTCAAAGGAAATAAAGTCATTTATCATGTACTCAAATTATTGATGCATAAGCAATGGCCCTTACACAAAGTGTTGATAAATAATGCAGGCTATTTGGCCATACAGCGGTCACTATCACCCCACGGAAGAGAACTTCAAAGAATTCATAAGCTTTCTTGACGAGCACAACGTGGACCTTTCTAATGTCAAGGTAAGTTTTTTTTTTTTTTTCATCCAAGTGAAGTTATTTAAAAAAAAAAAAAAAAAAAAATTGGTTGTGGAAGAATAAATCAGCTGATATGGTTGTTGTACTGGTTTCTTTCCTTGCAGAAATGTGCCATAGATGATGATGCACCTTCAATTGTTGGGTCCATTTCATTTAGTGAGATTAATGAATCACAACAACTGAATAAGGGTCCCTCTCTATCTTCTTCTCAATCGGGCTCAGCAGCTTCCACTAATGTCAACAACAATGGCATCACCATTAATGCGAAGGCCCATAAAGACATTGAAAAGAAGGTGTTTGACGTGTCCAAGAGGCTATCATGCAAGTGGTCCACTGGGGCTGGGCCCAGGATCGGCTGTGTGCGTGACTACCCTGAGCACCTCCAATCAAGGGCGTTGGAGCAGGTTAACCTCTCGCCAAGGCCCGCTTCCGCACGCCCGTATAGCTACGGCCCAATCCCCTCGCCCAGGCCCAGCCCAAAAGTTAGGATGTCTCCCAGGCTGGCTTACATGGGCTTGCCCAGCCCAAGACCCTCAATTCCTTCTGCAAGTTAAGATAACCAAGTCTCGGACCATGTATATATACACGTGTCCCCTTAGTCACAAAACTTGTGTCAACTATGCTGACACTTGACTTGAGATGAGACCAGAGAGACTTAACTCTCTTTCTCTCTCTCTCTAGCTTCTGCTTTGGTTTTACAATTTGTTCATTTCTTTATTCTTGGGTTGCATTTGCATTAACTATTAACCCTATTTCTCTCTAGTTTTCTTATCATTCAACATTTTGATTCTTCATTGTAAGTAGGGCGGGTACAAAATCTCTAATTGAAAATGAGATCATTTTTGTCTATTAAAAAATTTCAGCTATGAATAAAATAACAATCTTGTTTGTACTTCTAGCTTTTATTGTTTGTAACTATTTTTTTTTTGTCTATAAAATATTAATTGGTTTTATTGATAATTAGTCTCTATTAAAAAGTATAGTTTATCTTTTGTAAGATTTCTACTATGAATCAAGATTTTTCTATCAATAAATTTAAACCCAATATCTTATTTAATAATGTGTTCATATGTTATTTAATCATATTAGTAATTATATAGAATTTTAAATTTATTAAATGAATTAACAATAATACTATATATGATCACGATTCAAAGTGGGTTTATCAGATTGAACTTAGAGTGATTTGAAATCAAAATGATTTTCCAATAGTAAAAGTTTTAGATAGAAAGGTATATATTGACTTCAAACAATGCACTAAAACTAATTTTTATTATTTTATGGTAAAAATGAATTTCGAGGCTTAAAATGTTATTTTCGCTAATGTATTGCATTCATTGTAGTTAAAAATATATTGATCTGAAATCAACTCGAGTTTTAGGTTATGACTGAAATGAAGTTAGTTTTATTTTGGATTTGAAGTTTTGCATTCCATTCAAGTTAGAATACCTTGTTTTAGACTTGTTTCTTTTTGTTTTTGGTGCATTATAAAGCTTATTAGTTTCCAACCCCGATATAATTTTAATTTGTTAATTGATCTGGTTTATTAAATAAAATATGCTTTTCTCCTAAGCTTTATCTCTTCTCACACAATTTTGCAGCAGTATCTTGAGTGAGAAAAGAAAGAGTCACTTTCACTTGTTTAGTTTTATTTATAATAAAAGGTGTGAAAGAAATTTTAAAAAAAATGTTAATTCTTTGATTTGGTATGCAAAGAAATTTTTGAGCAAAAAAAAAAAAAAGAGTGACACTCTCGGCATTTTTTTTTAATCCAATTTTGCATAAAAATTCGTGAGAATAATATTGTTTTGTTTTGCACTTGCTTTTCACGTATACCCTTCTAGTCCTTTTTTGTCTTTTTTTTTTGTAGGTGCCCTTAGTCCAACACCACCTTCGCAAGCCCGTTGTTCTTTTAGTCGAAAAAAAAATATATATATATATATAAAATAGCGACTGCTTTGCATGTTGTCTCATAGCCTATCCCATGAGATGAAAGTCAATCTAGCATCCCATGATCCCAAATCCCATTGTTTGTATCTAGAACTAGAATATGGGTTTATGCAAAAATGGACCTATGTTTGAATCATAGATCAAATAGGATAGAATTACGGAGAAGACAAAATAGGGTTTTATGAATGAAAAAAATATGATTAGAAATATTGGAGTAGTAAGGATTGGATTTAAAACATATGTTTATTCAATTTGATCAACTTTAATCGGATTAAAATGGTTTAATCCCAAATTAGAATAGTTATATATATATATATATATATTTTTTTTTCATTCATAAATTTGAATCAATCAGATCAAATCATATTTGATTTGAATTAGTTTATTTATTAGATTTATTTGTTAAAGAAATCACATTAGACAACTTGTAAAATATATTTCTATATAAACATTCAATATTATAAACATGTTTATTAACATTATAAAGTACTACTAAACCATTTAAAATTGCAAACTTAAAAAGTAATAAAAATTATTAAATTAAAACTTAAATTTGTCCGATATCACAATCCACAAATCTATATGTCATCCTTAACATCATATACGGAGTAAAATATCTCAAATGATTATGACCAACCCTACAAAAACTCAAATATTTAATTGATATCCAACTTTCATGAAATGAAAGATATTCATAATGAAACAAATAAAAAACTTGGGCTTCATTTTTATCCTTTGATACTAAATGAATATGTCAGTTTTAAATGAAAAAAAGCTAGATTTAATGGATCACTTATCCCTTCTTTATCTCTTATATATTAATAGTCAAAATTTGATAATCCAAAATAAATATAATAAATTAATAATAATAATAATAATATATTAAATTAATCAACAAAACGATTTGGTTCAACTAGTGAAAATCAAAATTCAAAATTCAAACCGAACCAACTAAAATTCTAATTTTTAAATCTGAACTGATATGATAGTCTGAACCAATATAATGTTTTCAATGAGTATTGAATTTATCAAATCATCAAATTGGATCAAATTTACAATCACTTCTAAAAAAAAAAAAAAAGAGACATCACTAAGATGATTAATTAAATTTTTTAATTGAGATTAACAATTAATGAAATGGATTAATATTTCATCATACCACTAACATATTATATATAAAAAAAAGTTAGAATTTGCTAAAATAGTGGGCTATTTAAATACGATTTTGTTTAGTCATCTTTATTTAATTTCCAGGTTATAAGGGATGAAGTTTGCTGATTATTGAACCTGTTTATGAAACTTTTTTTTTAATATTAATTACTGTTTTATAATTTGGTGAAAGTGTTTGGGTTTTGATCGGATATAAATTGGTGAAAGACAATTCAGGAGCGAATAATCAAATCACTCAATCACCGAAAAGAAAATGGCCAAAGTTAATAAAAGTGTAATTGGTCTTGGTCTAGGGTTATCATTCTTTGATTTTGGGTGGTACAACATGAACAGTGATAACTAATTTTGGGGTAGCACACCAATTTTGTAGGGGCCATATCCCTTTCAGCTTTTCCCAGGCTGCACTGATATGGTAATCGTTGCCCAGAGTGCACTGTGTGTGCAGACTATATACAATATAGCTGCAGCAGAAGAGAAGAGGGACCACAACCCAAAATCTTATTTCAGGGCACACAAAGATAACTTGGGTAATGCACAATCTGCACCATCCTTTCTTCCTACAACAGTACTCTGCAACCATCACTATCAGAGTATTTATGCACTCATCACTCTTCTGTTGTTGGGGTGAGTGAGTGAGTGAGTTCTGGATTTTTGATACTTGTGTTGCTGGCTTTTGTCTTTCAAGGCGACTTATAGAAATTGGAGACAAGGTACACCTTTTCTTCCCTTCCCATGACTCTCCTTTTGCCTAATCAATATGATGACACCATCATGTGCGTGTCAAAAAATGCAATTTGTACTACCATATAAATATAAATTCATGTTGTCATAAAGCTCAAGTTAGTTAAGAATTTTAGACACCCTTTAGCAAGATCAACAAAATCATAATATTAGCATGTGTTTGGTTCTGCTTGAGAACCATATGACATAGATATAAGACATGAATAATCATAAACTATAATATATCTTTAGACATGGAATTTGACTAACACAATGCGATTCTAAACATGCATGTAGTTGCTTTTCAAATGATTGATCTTCATGATAATTAAAACTCTTTTTTTAAGTATTTACTATAGTTTTACTTTCATAATTCAAACTTAAAACTTTTGATTAAACATAAATAATTTCAAATTAGAAGTTAACTGAATAACAAATTAGTAACTTCCTAACCAGCCAAGCTGCTAAAACAAATTTATAAATGCAATTTAGAAGCATGGCTTATAAGTTAATTTTAACACAATGTTCTAGAATATGACGAGTCCAATCAAAGTAAACTCTTCTCTTTGGTTGGTGTCAACATATATAGACACTTGACTTGAGTTCAAGTTTGTTCTTATGAAATTTCAAACATTATATTAATGCCAAATTAAACTTAAAACGGTGACTGCGCAAACAATTTGAGTGAGTCAACAAAGGTACAGATTGGGATAAGTAATAAATATATACTGTCACATTCATTCATATTCACTTTAATCAAAAGTATCATGAATGAATATTGCTCTTCTCCAACGCAGCTTTGACCGTCATTAGTGATTCAATAAGGGCAGATTCGCTGCATGATTCCTGTTCCCCATCTACCAACCTCTATGAAATGGACTTAACCATGAAATGTTGCATTCCATTCTGCCTCTGTTGCTCTAATTTCCCATTTAATTAGTCTTGGTCCAGTCGCACTTGCCTACATGGCATCATTTGTTCCACTTTCGGGTACTTACAATTATGACTTAAATCATACTTGTCCACTCCAGATTTCTTTTGTATTCCTATTACCATGAAAACTGAAAAGTATACTTGAATCTAGTACATTATCAAAAATTATCTTTAACGATTATTTATTATTGTTTTTAGACTTGTCATGAGATTTGGTTTTGAGTCTCTATTAATTTATTTGTAGGTATTTAGTCTCATAAATTTTATGTTTGATTTTTCAGTCTTTGATGTAAGAGAGTGCAGTGAAAATTTCATATTAATTAATCATATGATCATACAAGTTTATATTAATGTTATCAGATTTAGTTTAGACTAGTTGGTCCAATTGATTGACTCAAAAATCGATCACTTAATTAGTTCGAGCTAGTTAATGACTCGATATAACTTAACGGGTTTAGCCTAAAACTATTGACTCAAGTTTGATTGACCCGATATATATATATCCCTCATTTATCACATAGTTCTGGTCATATTACACAATATTGTTGAGAATTTTAATATCTCTATTCATAAAAATCTTATAATATATTTTTACCTATTTATAATATTTTTTTAAAACATGAATTTTATATATTGTCAAATATTTATAATTTTTTAATATAGATTATGTCATGCAAATCAATTCGAGACTAAGTGATTCTATCTCTAATCCATTAATCTAATATTTTGATCAAGTTGCCTACCAGATTGAGGATGATAATATTGATGGATATAAGTGAAAAATAACAATTATTTTACAAACTCATTTTTAGATTTTTAGAAAGTTGAATTACACTCCCGTTTACTTTTGTTAATATTATATATAATATATAATATAATATTTTACAAAGAAAAACTAATAATAATATTTTGATAGATAATAATAATAATAATAATGTGTTTAACCGAGGAACAAGAGTTGGTATGGGAAGTCAATTCAGACTGTTAAAATGAAAATTTTTAGTGGCTCTGCAGTCTAGGCAGTCTAACGCTTTCTGCATATTTTTACTTTCATATTCTAGGGACATTGCATCCCAGTTATAATCAATTAACAACGAATCTGAATCAGGTCCACCTGCCGCAGTTATTATTTAGTGGATAAATTCTTATATTATATTCATTTTTAACATTTTATTAAAATATGTAACTGATAGGGCAAGATTCTTGTATTATCCCATAAAATTTTATTATAAAGTTTTTTATGGTGGTATATCATATCATAGTTTTACATTATGAATGCATGAAAAATATTTTTGGCACTCCTACGAATACATACCATAGTTTTAAAAACCGGACCGGTCATCGAACTGGTTAAGGTACTGAGTTAGTGGGTCAAAAGTTGATTTTTTTTTTTAAAAGTATTCATATTAAATATATTTTATACTTATAAATTTTAATAAATTCATATCTTATTTTAAATTTTAATTTTTCTATCTTATTTCAAATTATTTTTATTTTTATTTTATAAAAAATACATAAAAAAATTACATGTTAAACGGTATATTAATACAAATTAAAAATATAAATAATATGTACATATATAATATGCTTGCAATTAATATCAGAAAATAATATATGTAATATTTACATAGATATTGCATTATTAAATATATAATTTAAAATTAATAATATACTATAAAAGTTATTTAAGTTGTATATATTGTAAACAAATATATTAGAACAAGTAGTCATTGTTATATTTAATAAGACTCATTGTTTTTTCATTAAGAGATTCAATTTTCATTATTATTTTTGTGATTTATGGTCCCTTAAAAAATTAAAAAAAAAAAAAAAAGTGGTTGAACCGGTTTGACCCATCGGTTCACCGGTTGAACCGGAAAATTGACCGGTTCAATCTGATTTGAAATGGGTCGACTGCATAACCGATCCAATTTCATATTCGGACCGGCTAGACCACCGGTTCCCGGTCCAACCGGTCCGACCGGCCGGGTCGGTCCGGGTTTTAAAACACTGGTACAAACACTCTCGAAAGTAAATAGGAAGAAAAAAAAAAGAGAAAGTGATAGATATCCAAATATATTAGAGTCAATAAACACATTTTGTATTGAAACAAATTTTATAGCTTTCTGGATTACTCCTATATCTGTCTCTCTATAGACAAGTCACTTGTCAAAACAAAATGTTGAGAAATGCCAACCTGTTTTCCATCTGTCTGAGAGAAAGTGAGACTCAACAAACATTGCTCAGCCAAGGTAAATAAATTAATAAAGAGCATGCAACAGAAAAATAATGGAAGTATATATATATATAATAATCGAGTAAATCTTTGTGTCTACACTTTGTTCTTTTTGTGACACGTTGCACCAATCTTGTTCAATAAGAGTAATATTTACAAGGGTCAAGGGAGTGTGATTCGCCAACCCAAAACTCTGCTAGTGCTTTGCCCTATTGTGGATATCTATCTATATTCTCTTTTGCATAACCATGAAGACAAGAAGAATGTGCTACATTATTCTAATGGCTTCAGTTCTACTCTCTTGTTTGGTTTGCGTGAAAACCAAGCCTTTGTTTCTCATTGATCCTTCCACTCAACAAGGTCAGCCATCTCATCAACACAAACGTTATCACTAATCACTTCTTATTTCCACATCATGTTATCAACATATTATTTCATTTATAGCGTGTTTCGTTCCACGTTTTACATATGATTTTTTTACTAATAGTTATAACTTTCATAACATCATGTGATTTCTAGAATCCAATAGTTACAGCTTTCATATCCCAAATGTGATTTTTAGAAGTTAATAATTATAGTTTTCCTTTCTCACACATGATTTCTTCGTTTTCAATGAACTTCCAAACATGTCATTAATGCGAGTTTGGATCACGTTACAGTCACTCCAAACCCACAATTAGTAGCATATGAATCCCATTTCCCACTCTCACTCTCTAATGAAGCATTGTCTTTTTTCACCTTTTGGTGGTTACCAACAGCACATTTGAAACACACTGCTAAAGTAGCTGATGAGACAACCATAATGCAAGATGTCTCGAGACATGCCTTTGACCCTGCACAGGTACCATTGTGTTTTTGAATAATCTTCTTGTTAGAGACATGACATGATTATTATTATTATATATGTTTGTGTTAAAGGTTAATGAGAGAAAGAGAATATTGAAAGCAAAGGCTAATGGGTACAAAGATTCATTCAGAGGACTGAGTAGACTAGGATCAACACCACCAAGGTGTGAGCACAAATGTGGAGGCTGCATTCCCTGCGACCCCATTCAAATTCCTACCAACAATGATCTTCTTGGGGCTCAGTACGCCAATTACGAGCCCGAAGGATGGAAATGCAAATGTGGCAATTCTTACTTCAACCCATAATTATACGTTTGTGTGTAAAATTCTACCTAGCCATGGTGTTTATAGCCTTGAAATTTGGATGCTTGGTTACAACCTGAGAAAGTTTTGGGTTAATACATGCTGTTTATCCAGAGTTTAGGATTTGTACATGCTACTTTAATCTTTATCGTTAGAATCACTTTGGTGATTTATTGAGCTTAGATGATTGAAATATCTATTTTATAATGGTTTAAATATCTATTTACTTTCTTGTATCTGGTTAAAAATGTTTTCTTTTAGTGTTTATGTATTATTTTTATTTTATAATTTTAAATAAATTTTGTCTTTTAGCTTTTCTAGAAAAAATAAATATAAAGGGAAAATAATATATAAAAATTAAAAATAAATTTAATAATTGAAATTATTATTTAAAATTTATAAAATTTTACTTAATTATTTAAATCTTGTTTGAATAAAATTCACAAATATTAGACAATTTCTTTAGTTTACGACCTTACCTCAACGTGTTTTTGGTTGCTGATTGGCTGATTTTCCTTTGGATAAAAGAATTTGTATTAGATATTACACTTGGCTTTACAACCGTTATTTTGTACGTTTCATCGAAATTTTTTTTTTTTTTTTGGTAAGTCAAAGCTAAGAAAACAAACAGAAAAAAAAGGAAGATTACATCCTACGGAACACTGTTCCAGCTGCATCTGCCGTCACAAACGGGTGTAAACCCTCAGGCATGGTATCCAAACTACTAGGTTAACACCACAATTTGGCCCTAATTTCGACAAAAAATCTGCACTTTGGTTTCCTTCTTGAAGAGAATGGCAAACACAAACACTCCAAGATTGTTGCAGTAACTCCTTAATGTGAGCAATGATAGGAGCATACTTATGCAACACGTCCAATGATCCCAACACCAAATTGACTGCCAGTAACGAATCAGAAACACAAAGTATATTGCGAAAGTTAGCTCTCCATGCCAACTTCATACCATGTAAGATAGCTAATAACTCCGCTTTGAGATTCTCCCCAACTCCAGCATCCCCATAAAAACCCATAAGCCAACGACCAAAGTTGTCTCTACATAAACCTCCATAACCCGCCGGACCCGGGCTACCAAGCGCACTGCCATCCACATGCACCGTGATTTGCCCTTGGCTAGCTTGTAAGCATGTAACGTGACGCTCCTGTCGAGCCACCCTCTCCTGTGGTCCCCATAACGTTTTAAACAGAGATGACATAGCCTAAATACAACCAACCAAAACATGAGGGGGAGATATTATACCCGAAAAAACTCGACGGTTGCGTTCCAGCCAAAGTTCCCATAATAAGCTAACAAGCATGACCCCATACTCGTCAATGTTAGCTTTCAACCATAAGAACCAATTGATTGTACCCCATTGTGGTAGAACCAAACCAGGGAACACAGACTGCCATAGCAACACAGTTACATCACAACCAAAGAAAATATGAAATGCATCCTCAACTGTTTTATGACAACATTGACACAAGGTGTCTAAACCCATGTGACGTGAGACGAGAAACTGAGTAGAAGGGATGCACTCATGGGTTAGCTGCCACAAAAATAATTTTAGATTCTCTAGTATCTTGAGCCGCCAAATCCAACCCCACACCGAGTCATGGATGCCATCCTCCCATGCCAATAGCCACTCATACCCCTCATAAGCCGTATATCTCCCTGACAGTGCTCCGTTCCAGACCCAAACATCTGGTAAGGAATGATGAAAGGTCATGCTAAGCCCTTCAATACGTTGACGTAAAGTATCAAGTATAGGGGTATGAAGAATGTTCAAGTTCCACTTCCCCTATTGCAATACCTCACATACCTGAAGATTCACATCTCGAAAATGCACATAAGGGACATCTAAACAAAGCGCCAAGTTGCCTTACCAAACATCATACCAGAACCGTACGTGTCCGGCACCCAGCTATAGTTGAAAACCATCATGCAATTGAGTATAGGTCTTGGCTAAAGCACTCCAAAATTAGAACCTTTCACATCTAGGCGGTGTTGTAACGTAGCACCAGGGTATTTATTTAGAACGAACTGCACCCATATCTTGTCCTCACGATGACCCACATCCCATAATAACTTTCCCAGAAGAGCTATGTTTTGTAAACGAGCAATCCGGGACACCTAGACCACCATGCCGTCGTGCTCTCGTAACTATATCCCAACGTGCAAGGTGGAGCTTACGTGTACCATCCCCACTCCAGATAAACTGACGTGCCTCCCTATCAAGCGCATCACAAATTGTTTGCGGCAACCACTGAAACTGCATTGTATAAGAAGGAATAGCAACCACAACAGAGTTAACCAATGTTACCCTACCAGCTCGATTTAACAGTTTTCCCTTCCAAGAAGCTAGTAGTTGTGATACCTTGTCGATAATGTAATCAAAATGAGCCGACGTCACCCTACCATGCACCATGCGAAAGCCCAAATACCTTCCTAGATTACCCGTTAACCGAATATGAGTAATATCTACTAAATTATGCTTTACTTGAGGTGGTACACCAGCCGATACGTGACCTTTAGATTTTTCAGGATTAAAATGCAAACCTGAAACTACTGAGAAACGCTATAACAAATCAACCATAAACCGCACCTGGGAGGGCTTAGCCTTAACAAATAGTAAAATATCATCAACAAAAAATAAGTGGGAAATAGAAGGCCCTCCTTGTGGCAATCTAAATGGCTCCCACCTTCCTTCCTGCACTGCACCCGTAATCATTGCCCCTAATTTTTCCAAACATAACACAAACAGATACAGTGATAGGGGGTCACCTTGGCGAAGCCCTCTTTTGGGAAAGAAAGATGACGTCTTCTTCCCATTCCACAACACAGATATAGAAGGGGAAGAAAGGCTATGCATCACTAACCGAACAATATTCGGACGAAAGCCAAACTCATTAAGTACTTGTCCCACGAAACTCCATTCCACTTTGTCATATGCCTTCTCAATATCAAGCTTATACACCACATTGCCCTTCATTTTCCTCAACTTCTTCATTGAATGAATTATCTCCTGTAGAACTATAGCATTATCCACGGGGCTCCGTCCTGAAATAAAAATAGTCTACAAAGGGCTCACTAGCTCATTCAACCAAGGGCGCAAACGAATAACAAGAACTTTAGACATGAGTTTATGAATTACATTACATAAGCTAATGGGTCGAAAATCTTTGAGCCTTTTAGGATCCTCACACTTAAGAATAAGTGTGACCAAAATATTTGATATTTGCGGGTCGAAAGAACCTGTAACAAAAGCATCACGAACCAACTTCCAAATTTCACTACCAATCTGATCCCAATACATTTTATAGAAAAAGGCTTGAAAGCCATCAGGGCCCGGTGCCTTATAAGAGGGCATACTCAGCAGAGCCGAATGGACCTCTTCCATCGTCGGAACTTCCCCTAGTTGAGAGATAAGACTATCAGGAAGACGAAGCAGGTGCGGTGTAAGTGGTGTGGAGACTACATTCTCTGATGTGCCAAAAAGATCCTTGAAATACTTAACTGTCGCTCCTTCTAATTGTTCTTCATCAGTACTCCACACCCCCGAATCCAAGAAATGCCCATGTATCTTCCCTTTCTTTCGCCGTATCACTGTTTGTGTATGAAAAAACCTGGTATTTTTATTGCCAAAACGGATCCAATCTTCCCTGGACTTTTGAAACCATATGGTTTCCTCCTGAAATAGAGTGAGTTCATACTCACAGAGAGTTCATGGTAATTATGGAGTAGACGTAAAGAATCCACTCGCTCAAGAGTCCTTTCAATACCACGTAGCCTGCTCTCCAATGCCTTCTTTCGAGTATGAGTGTTGCCAAAAACCTCTTTGTTGAAAACCATAGAATCCTGACGAACATAATCTAGGGATTTAGCCACATCCCCATTCCCTCTTTCCCAAGCCTTGCGTACCACCTCAACATACCCTTCATGAGTACACCATGCAACTTCAAATCTAAAGGGACGATCACCCCTTCGAAAAGGGTAGCCACCACACCTCAATAGGAGGGGATTATGATCAGAATGTCGTCGCGAAAGTACCTCCACTATCGCCTCCGGAAACTTCATACGCCATTGAATGTCCCCCAAAACTCGATCCAACTGCTTGTGAATTGGCCCCTGCCCAGTAGCCATTCTATGCCACGTAAACCGACCTCCCACTTGATCAAGTGTTAAGAGATCACACTCATCAATCATGCGGCCAAACAACGCAGCTCGACTATGAGAAAACAGGCCTCCACGTTGATTAGAGGGAAGAAGAGTTTCATTAAAGTCACCAAATAGAACCCAAGGAAGGTGAAAAGAAGCGCGGAGTGAGCAAAGATAATCCCAAAGACGCACCCTCTCCGTAGGATTCGGACTCGGATACACCCCTGAACATATCCAAATGTGAGACCCTTTAGACACTTTAATAGAAACAACTTGGTTCGTAGAGTTAACATTCTTAAAAGTGAAAACTGAAGATGACAACTGAAGAACCCATATACCCCCTGCGTGCCCTCTAGCCTCCTGAATTTCAACCACCTGATAGCCCAAGATATCCCAAAAACGACGAACCCGTGTAAATTGGACGTGCACTTCAAAGAGGAAAACAAGATCAGGACTATACTTCCGTAAATTATCCCTGATGTGAGAGCGATTTCTCTTGCCTGAGGCACCACGAACATTCCAAGCCAAAATTTTACAGTCCATAGCTATCATTATTAAATTGATAAAAGATAGAAGCAAAGAGCAAGGGAGCCAGTTCACCGTCAAGTAACTATCCCCGACCTCGACCTATCAAGGGTCTCCTCCACCATCTCATCATCATCCTTTGAAAGCTGCAGTGATCCATCCCCCCAGTCTCATGGTAAAGAGTGTAAACCAGTTGACCCTCCCGCATCCCAAACTGGAGGGCAAGGTTTGTGAGGACCTGTAGGAGAACGTGGCATCCCAAGCACAGGTGTTGGGTTCGTATGTTGCTTTTCCCTAAGTGTCACGTAATTTGCATGCAGCATGGGCCCCATCTCAACTCCCGCAGATAACGTAAATCCCAAGCTTTTAGGCTTATCATGCACATTGGGTTCCCCGCCTCCTATCTCATGAGGAATATCACCTTTAACAGGGCTGGGTGACCTGCATTTCAAAACCATATCACGTGGGCCGCCATACGGTGAGTGACGT